TACTTCAATAAGAAAAAGATGAACAACCCAATTAAAAAGGACAGAAATACCACAGTTCACCAAAAATGGTATCCAAATGGCTAACAAATACATGAAAATAATGCTTACCATGATTAGCCATCTGGGAAATTTGAATCAAAGTAATAAGATATCACCTTAAATTGACAATGATACGCCCATTTTTTTAAAAAGCTCAGGAAACAGTAAATGCTGGAGAGAGTGAAGAGAGACTGGGACTGCCGCGCGGCTGATGGGATTGTGAATATGCACCTCTTCTGTGGAAGGTGACGGGGCACTTCCTCAAACAACCAGGAACAGAAAATCCCTAAGACCCAGCAATCCCTCTGCTGAAAAGTCACAGCACAAACACACATATGCATGCCCATGTCCATCGCAGCACTATTCACAAAAGCCCGAATCAATAGAAGAAAGGGCAAAGAAACTTTGGTACCTATGCACAATGGAATACTAAGCATCAGTAAAAAACAATGATGAAACCAGGAAACATCTCATTATAAAAATCATTATGCTGAGTGAAGATAGTCAATCACAAAAGAACAGATATTATATGAGACCACTATTATAAGGATAAAAAACAAGACAAAGACGTGCATGCCAAAGGGAACAGCCTTTGGAAGTTACCAAGTGAGGTAGGGCAAGGGACTGAAGGTGAAATAACGGACCAGAGGTTTGGCAGATGTTGACTTGGGTGAACTGAATGGGAAAATGGAGGACCACAAGAGGGCGAAGAGAAATCAGAGGAGTGGGGTGGGGTATGATGAGAGGGGTGTTGATGAGTTCTTTGAATTGTTGAATGCAGAGTTCATGGTCTGAAATGTAAACCCCCCCTCCCCCCACTCAATTTACAACAATGTTTAAAAGGATAAAATAAATAGAAACCAGTTTGTCTACTAAATCAAAACTAAATAAATAATACATAATAATGAGGAAACACTATTTTAACAAAAAGGAAGATGCACACAGATTAACAAAATGTGGGAAACATGATTTAAATACGTAATGCACACATATAAGTGGTCCTCCAGAAAAGGATAATGTCCACACAAACATTCCTTCCCCATGCTGTAGCCAATTACCAAGCGCTAGCCACATCATCTGATGCATCCCAGGCACAGGGAGTCCTTGAAGGACACACTCTCAAAGAAAAAGTGAAGGGCAAAGTTCCTGGTTCCATCTTACCGCTACTTCTTTCCACCCACTAACATTTGCACCCAAAATAGCCTAAAACTGTCCATAAGCCTCTTCATATATATTTTTCCAAATCCTCATTTTCATCTTAGTTCAAGCGGTAAAGAAAAATGGGAAAGATTAGAAATAAGTCATCAATGAACCCCGGGTCAATCTATCATTTGTTACTATATCTAAACAAGACGTAATAATAATCAGTTACAGCTAAGATATGCAATAAGGACTTTGTTCCAGGGCACCGTCTTTCAAAAACCCAATGTTCTGTGCTATTGTTTTGCCTTTCTCCACTTTAAATTTCACAGAGCGAGGATAACCCCTGGGCAGTGAGCAATGCTGGCTGGAGCACAATAGGCCAAATCCAGGGAAGCGTGCATCAGTCTGGGAAGCGAGCTGCAGGAGCCAGCTCTCTCCCGTTCTCCCCGTTCTTCTGTTTTATCAAACTACTGCTGGACAAGAGGGGCCTAGACTCTGTAGTTTGGATATATGTTGAATTACACAGTTTAATCAATAACTAACACCCTAGCTAATGAGAACATAATATGTGAAATAAATAACATAGATTGTGCAATAAATCCGAAGTCAAACACATGATTATATTAGTAAGCCTACTAAATTTTCCTGAATAGGAGTTTTAGTAGAATTGCTTGCCATCAGATCAAGAAGAAATTTTTAATATAATATTACAATAAGCATAATGGAAAGTTCACAGGCAGTAAGTTAAAGATTTGATATCAGCTTGGGTTTTAAAAACACCAAAGGAAAATTGACAAGGATAACTCCTAAAAGCATATACTCCCACTCCCAACAGTGAGCCAACAAATTCCCAAAGTCAAGTTAAAAAGCAATAAATAAAATGAGACCAAAACCATTGGCCCAAAACAAGTTCATAAGGCAGGAAGTTGCGGGGGGGAAAAAAGGTAAAACGGGAATGAGAACTCAGGGAGGAAGTGGGAAAATACGATCTAATTGAAGAGACCACAACCAATGTCACAAACCAAAATGTGTATAAATTGTGGAATAGAAAACTAATTTGCTCTATAAATTTCTACCCAAATCACAATAAAATGTTCTAAAAAAATAAAACTAGAGTGGGTGGTAGAGGAGGAAGGGGAAAAAGAGGAGCTGATATCAAGGGCTCAAGTAAAAAGAAACTTTTGGAAATGTTGATAGTAACATATGTACAAGTGTGCTTAATACAAATGAATGAAAGAAAAAATACAACAACTGAATGATGGATTGTCATAAGAAAAAAAAAGATGAAAATATTTAGAAACTGTTGATGCCAACAATTTCACATGTCTGCTTAATTTATGGATTGTTACAATATATGTAAGAGTCCCCAATAAAATTACTTATTAAATTTAAGAAGAAAACAAATAAGTAAATAAAACTGATCATTGTAGATCAAGAAAGGAAGATGATGAGGAGCAAACGTCCTGAAAACTTTAAAGTCTAATGTTCATTGATACATCTTGAAGGTAAAAACATTTTTATAAAGCAAAAGTTCGAAAAAAGAAAATCCTGCATCTTTTTTTAAGAGATAGGATTTCTATTTTAGCATGAGTTAATGTCATTCTGAGTCCTACAAAAATTCTTTAGCAAATTTCACATCTTTTTTTAATGTTAGTAGTTTTATTGGTAAATAATTGACATATCATACAATTTAACAGTTCAGTCATATGATGGAGTTGTGCCCCTGAAGATTTCCCATCGTAAGGAGCCCTGGTGCCACAGTGGGTTACGTGGCTGCTAAGCACAAGGTCAGCATTTTGAACCCACCAGTTGCTCTCTAGGAGAAAGGGGAGGGTATCTATTCCCATAAAGATTTACAACCTTGGAACCCTAGGAAGTCATTCTATCCCATCCCGTAATAGGACTACTATGAGTCAGAATGGATTTGATGATAGTGGGGGGTTTGTGTTGGTTCACATCTTAACTACACAGTAAAATTAACACAGTATCATTTCCCATTGGAATTACCCTCAAATCTGAAAATGTGTGAACAGCTGGTATCCCAAAGGCAAGCTGCAATCCTTGATCTTCATCAGCAAGTACTTCGAGTCCTCACTTTCAGCAAGCAAGGTTATGTCATCTAGCTATCACAGGTTAATAAGCTTTCCTCCAATCTTGATTCCATATTCTTCTTCATATAATCCACCTTCTAGATTATTGGCTCAGCCAACAGACTTTTAAAAGATGGTGAAAGTACTATGGACTTCCAAAGAACAAAGAGATCTGCCTTGGAAGAAGTATAGCCAGAATGTTCCTTAGGGGCAAGGAGGGCTAGACTTTGTCTCATGTACTTTGGACATGTTATCAGGAGAGACCAAACCCTAGAGAAGGATGTCATGTTTGGTAGAGTAGAAAAGACAGGGTCAAAGAGGAAGGCCCTCAATGAGATGGCTTGACACAGTAGCTGCAGCAATGGGCTCAAAAATGAGGATGGCACAGGACCAGGAGGAGCTCGTTCTGTTGCACAGAGGGTTGCTATGGGTTGGGTCTGACCCTACAGCACCTAGAGATAACAACATAAAAGGAACAGCACACTTGAATTAAAAAGTAAGCGGCCATATAGCTCAGAAGCAACAAAGCCCACATGGAACAACATATCAGCCTGTGTGATCACGAGGTGTCGAATGGATCACTGAAGACAAATGGGTGCATAAGTAAATGTGGCGAAGAAAGCTGATGGTGCCCAGCTATCAAAAAGTATAGCGTCTGGGGTCTTACAGGCTTGAAGGTAATCAAGCGGCCATCAAGCTCAGAAGCAACAAAGCCCACATGGACGAAGCACACCAGCCTATGCAACCACGAGGTGTCGAAGGGATCAGGTACAAGGCATCATCAGAACAAAAAATCTTACCATACTGAATGATGGGGGGAGTGCGGAGTGGAGACCCAAAGCCCATTAGTAGGCCACTGGAGATCCCCTTGCAGAGGGGTCTCGGGGAGGAGATGAGCCAGTCAGGGTGCGATGTAACAACGATGAAAAATACAACTTTCCTCTAGTTCCTAAATGTTTCTTCCCTGCTCCCACTACCATGACTCGAATTCGACCTTTCAAGTCTGGCTAGACCAGAGGATGTACACTGGTACAGATAGGAACTGAAAATACAGGGAATCCAGGGCGGATGAGCCCTACAGGACCAGTGGCGTGAGTGGCGAAACAGGGAGGGTATAGGGAGAGTGGGTAGGAAAGAGGGAACCAATTACAAGGAACTATATGTGACCTCCTCTCTGGGGGACGGACAACAGAAAAGTGGGTGAAGGGAGACGTCGGACAGGGCAAGATATGGCAAAATACCCATTTATAAACTATCAAGGGCTCATGAGGGAGGGGGGAGCGGGGAGGGAAGGGAAAAATGAGGACCCAATGTCGGGGGTTTAAGTGGAGAGAAAATGTTTTGAGAATGATGTACAAATGCGCTTTACACAATTGATGTGTGTATGGATTGCGATAACAGTTGTATGAGCCACTAATAAAATGTTTTTTAAAAAAAGAATTAAAAAGTAAGCACTCTATGTACAACTCTTCTTTATATGATTGCACTGCTGAATTGTATATGTAAATTATTTGCCAAAAAACTTTTAAAAAATAACATTAAGCACTCTATATACCATGTAACATAGACTTATATTCCTAGTAGCATCAAAAACAGTATTTCCGTTTTCCTTTGCTTTTTTTTTGCTTTTTTTTCCTTTGCTTCTATGGATACCGAATTTAGAAGGTAAATAAGTCACCAGTTATAGCATCAAAACTAAAAATCGAAGTAGGAATCATAGTAACTCACCTTTATGCATGAGAGTAGATCCATTATGGTCCCGCTCATTAATATTTATTACTCCATCTTCTATTAATTTCTTAAGTGTTTCCAAATCACCGTTATAGGTAGCCACATGGCCTGGAAATGCTAAAGCTATGAATAAAAAAATCAGCACTTCAATAAACCTATGAACTCATTCTCTCCCCTGCCTTTAAGCAGTCACACATTTTGAGTGTTAATATTATCTCAAGAATGAGGTTGATAATGCTGGAATCACTTCAGTTGATACAATGATAATTAATTTGAGAATGGCTAAAAGAAGATTGAGATTAATTAAGTAGTTTCCTTCCCTCAGGACTTTAGGCATACCAGAAATACTGTACTAGAACTATTTCTAGCCATATTCTATTTATTCCTGTACTTCTACAAAAACCACACACACACCTTCCTGGTATGGTGATTCATGGCGACTGTTTAGAACAGTGTATAGTTAACTGCCCAGAGGATTTCCAAAGCTGCTAATCTTTACAGAAGCAGAATGTCACATCTTTCTCCCATGAAGTGGGCCGGTGAGTTTGAACTGTCAACTTCTTGGCTTGCAACTGAACATTTTAACCACAGTGCCACCAGGGATCCTCCAAAACATAAAGCTAAGGTAATTTTCAACCTTGTATAAAGAACTTGGTAGCAAGTTCTCTATTTCCACAGACCACTTCTCTGTAGGCAAGGAAATGAAGGAAATAAACTGGAAGTAGATAAGTGTGTGTGTGTGTGTGTGTGTGTGTGTGTACTTGACACGCATGGTTACACATTGGGCTGCTAACTGCAAGATTAACAGTTTGAAACTACCAGCCACTCCATGGGAGAAAGACGAGGCTTTCCAATCTTGTAAAGAGTTATAGTCTCGAAAACCCACAAGGGAAGTTCTAGCCTGTCCTATAGGGTTCCTATGAATTGACTTGATGGCAAGGAATTTTTGGTTTATATCAGAGTAACTCAATACAAGCTGCTCTGGCTCTCTATTAGCACATACCCAGAGCCTAGGGGTTTACAAACTTGCTCTTGCAACTGTCTGCTTCTTGAATGAAGTGATCTCTGATCAGTCTGGGTAGCCTGCCCAATCAGAAACCCTTAAGGGCAGGGCAAAGCAAAGTGGCTCTAAGTCTTAAGAGATCTACAGAGCTCACGAGTCTGCAGAATGGCTGAGCGGGGCATGAAACAGCAGTAGCTACAGAAGCCAAAACGACAACACAAGGGATTGCAGGCTGTGCTGTCAATTGGGAGGCTACTGCTAAGCCAAGGCAGCCATGGTGCACAAACTCCACTGCTGAACCCGTCTCCTAGAGCCTGGCCAAGCAAGCCCCTGCTCCCTAGCCCAAGGATGTACATGTGGCCAGAAAGGCACAGGGAACTGTTTCCTAAAGGGTTGCTATGCAGTGCATAGCTGTAATTACGGTAAATTTAAGAGAGGACAGGTAATCATCCATTTACCCACTGCACTCCAGTCCCTTCTACCTCATACCAATCCTATATAGGGGTTTCAAGGCGGTAAATTTTTATGAGAGCAGACAACTTCACCTTTTTCCAGAGCAGAAGCTGGTGGTTTTGAAATCCCAGCCTTGGGGTTAGCAGCCCAATGCCTAACCCACAGTGTCACCAGGGTTCGTTCCTTGGACAGGTAATTTTTTTTAAAAACGCAATCCACTGCCATCAGGTGGATTCCAACTCAAAGGATCTGTACATCTTCCCAGGGGCAGACAGCCTCATTATATCGTGCCATACAAACATTACCATTTTTTATGTGGGCTACCTGTGAAAAAGGTGGGCAGTACTGCTCTAAAGGAACTCTTGTGTATGTACACAGAGACCCAAACAAGGACACTGTTAATTGTAATAGTGAAAAATTATAAGCAACTTAATTGACATATTAGTGAAGAAATAAACAATGGCTATTGTCGACTAATACTGTACTATACAACATTTCAAAAGAATTAGGATTTATCTATCAAGCTAGTAAATCTCAAATATATAAATATGTTGGAGGGGGGGCTGGAAAGCAAGCCATGGAAGGATATGTACTATTTTCTGCCATTTTTATAAAGTTTTTTAAAATGTCACAAAGTCTGCTAGCTGTCCAGCAAACTGCTTTCGAGCTTGGTGCTGAATTCTCCATGCTTTCTTGTAGCTAGTTATAACCATGTGACTAAATTCCTTCCAACAAAATGTTAGCAAAAGTGGTAAGTGCAACCTCCACTTTAGAAATCTCTCGTGCTGGACATAGACCTTAAAAGGCTTCCTCTAGGTGGATTAGCAGCTACTAAGGAAGACCTCAAAAGGCTTCCTCTAGGTGGATTAGCAACTATTAGCAACTACAGGAAGAGCTGAGAAGCTAGTCAATACTTTAATGACTACACAGAACAGATTATTTTCTAATCCGGTGGTCACATAAGAGAAATAAAGTTCCTGATGCATGTATGTATGAATTATGATAAGAGTAGTATGAGCCCCCAATAAAATTATTTTTAAAAAAGGGAGAGAAATAAAGTTCCATGTCATTCAACCCACTGAAATTTAGAATATGTTATCGCTTTCTCTTACTCACACACACACACACACACACACACACACACACACCCCACTGTATATTTTCTAAGTGATTTTGTGGGTATATGTATTATCAGTGTGCTTCAAAAAGTTCATGGAAAAATGGAACAGAAAGATAATGGATTTTTTTTCCATGTCCTTGAAGTGTCTTCATATACACAGCCCTAGTATATGAAACCAAAGAATGGAATGATAAATCCAAAATGATAGTTATCTCTAAGAAGGAAGAAAAGAGAGCAATATTAAGGAGAGATTATCTAGGAACTAAAACTCGATCTAAACAATACATTATAAAGTTTTCAATATGTTGATTTCTTCATATTTATATTTATTAAGGTTAAAACAGGTAACCCTCGTAGCACTGTGGGTTATGCATGGGGTTGCTAACCACAAGGTATGTAGTTCGAACCCACAAGAGCCACTCCTAGGAGAGAGATGAGGCTGTCTGTTCCTATAAAGATTTGTGGTCTCAGACATCCTTCACAGCATTGCGACGAGTCAGAATGGACTCCATAGCAGTGGGTTTATGGCTGAAACATTTCAAAATAAAGAAAAGCATCTGGATGGATGTGTGCACAATGACATATAATAGATGTTAATACAGAATTTGTCTTATAACATTCTATGTATTATGATGCTAAAGTAATTCACGTTTCACAACTCACTTTCCTGATCTTCTGGAGCATATTCTTCATATTCAGCCCCCTGGATAAACTGTAAGATGTTCTCTTTATAGAATCTCTGGGCCAGGTCCAATACATTTTCTCCATTATCATTGAAGGCTTTTAATGCTTGTGTTACATTGCTCATTCGACTGAGTAGGAATTTGAAACAGTGAAGGTGGCCTTCCATGGCTGTTAAGTGAACTATAGGTAAGAAATGGGGTGAGGAGGGGGGGGGATTTTAAAACAGAAATTAAAGGAACATAAAAAGAAGTAAAACATTACTCTATTTTTATCAGGAGATGACTGTCCACGCCCCCATATAACTGGGTCTTATCCTGATCAAGGACGACAGACCTATTCCCTGCTGCATCTTTCTATCACCTCTCACATCTAAACTACCTTGTGGGTTTGGTTCTAAAAATACACATGTAACATCATGTTGCCTCACTACCTTTGCTTTGGTTTATGCTAAATAGTAGCCTAAATTATTTCATTAGGCTTCTATCACTTCCCCCTACTTCTGCCCTTGCCATCCCAACATCCTTACTGCACTCTATGATCAACATAACAGCCAGAATAATCTACACAGACATCAGTCAGACCCTGGGATCAAAACCCTCCAATGGACCACTGTTACCACTCTGCCCTCATTGCTCACCCCTCATTTCTTCTGTTCTAATCTCACTGAATTTGCTGTTGCTATTGGCCCCAAGAATGCTCTGGTCCAGAGCGTGATCCTGCAACTCCTTCAGGTCAGTCACTCAATTGTCACCTTCCCTGACTACAAGATCTGAAGCTTCAATACCTGAAACACTTGCTCAGGCTGTCTCTACTTTAATTTCCAAATACGTATCATGCTTTAAAATAATATGTCTTTTGAGAGCTCTCGACACATGGAATTCAGGACAGATAAAACCCTCAGGAACAGTAGTGGGAGTAGCAATATCATGAGGGTAGGGGGAAGGTGAGGGTGTGGGGTGGGGAAGGGGGACCCATCACAAGGTTGGATACATAGCCCACTCCCCAGGGGGATGAATAACAGAAATGTGGGTGGAGGGAGACAACGGATGATGTAAGACACAAAACAACAATAATACATAATTGATCAAGGATTCACGAGGGAGTGAGGGTGGGAGAGGGAAGGGAAGGGAAAAAAGAGCTGATACCAAGGGCTCAAGCAGAAAAAAAATGTTTTGGAAACATTGATGGCAACATATGTACAACTGTGCTTAAATTGAATGATGGATTGTCATAAGATTTGTAAGAGCCTCCCAATAAAATGATTAATAAAAAATAGATACAAAATAAAATTTTAAAATAGAATAAATAATATGCATTTCGGGGCTGCTAACCACGAGGTCAGCAATTCGAAACAACCAGCTCTGCAGGAGAAAGATGAGGCTCTCTACTCCCATAAAGAGGTACAGTCTTGGAAACCCACAGGAGTAGTTCTCTCTCCTCTGTTCTACAAGGTCACTATGAGTCAGAATCAGCGTGATGTCCATGAGTTTGGTTTGGCTTTGAGTAGCCTTTCTGGGAAACATAGAGAGAGTAAACGATCCCCTGAAACTATCAGCTTGAGAAAATCTTTAAACCTTAAACCAAAAATATTCTCTAACACCTTCCTAGTAAGAAAGATCTACCTGGAGCATTAGGCTCTTTTATAGTATCAAACTGACAATAACTGGAAAGATTATAAAGGAATCTCCGGGGCAGTGAGCTTACGATAATGAGGCACTCAAAAAGAAGGGCGAGCATGGTTGCACATCGCAAAGAACGTGATCACTGCTTCCAAAAATACAGGTAAACACTGCTGTATTGGTAGATGTTTTGCTGTGTACATTCTTAACAATAACAACAAAATAAACACACCTTACAAAAGGAAAAAACAGGGTGCATAAGCAAATGTGG